TCTGGATTTTTTCCCCCATTTTGTCTCTCATAGTTGAGGTATACCTATGATGAAACTTTTTTTTCTCATCTTTTTAAGTGGGAGAACCTGCACAATTGGTGGCTGACTAAATACTTTTTTGCCCCACTGTACAAACAACAGTATTACAGCTCAAGTGCAATAATATATTAACTATTTTCTTAGCTCCTCTTACCTTTTCAATTTTCTCATCCAGCATTCGGAAGAATTCTTGTTGGCTTTCAGAAATGTGCATGCTGAAAAGAGAAAGAACCAATTCAGAGGGATTTTCAAGTGATGTGGTTTACGGGGACAGTGTGGCTCCCGTCTTAGTTTCTAACCTGCCACTTTCAGAAAAAGAGAAGTCATCAACTCTGATCAAACACCATTTCTGTATCAAAGCTAGCAAGAGACTGGGAAGAGGGAAATTATTTTATGGGGATGCCTTTGTATTGTTCAGCATATGCAAAAGGCTGCACTAGGCAGACTTGGAAGCAGTATGCATCTCACTATCATGGCAAGGGGGGGAAGACCCCCAATAGAAAAATGTCCAACATTTGAGTTGTAGGAGGTCAGAGGTAGCTTAGTTCCTTGACCTGCTTTCTGGAAAACAATCAGAAGAGTCATAATTTCAACGAATCAAGAGCTGGGAACCGTGGATTTCATTAAGGACTGCCTCTCCCAATTCAGAATTATTTAGTTATTATAAGCGTCTGCGTTGAAAGCAGAGATTTCACAAAGTAAGGCACAGAACCAACTGCATGCTTGGGAAAGCAAAGTTGGCATAATTTAGTTTTACCCTCAAAGGTCCTTCTATGGAGTCAGATGTAGTACAATAACTCTTTACATTAAACCCATCAGAAGCCTCTAATTTATACTCTAATATATACTGACATTTCCAGACCATGGTTCTTTACCACCACCCACAATCCTCTCCAGACATACAGTAAAGTCAAATAATCTACTTCCACTAACAATCCAGTGCTGAGACACCCAAATCGGTGAGACTTTGTTCCACAGAAGTAGGAGGTATTATATAGTATTAATAGTCTGAAAAGAACTGTACTGTTATAGTGTTGTCAGTGCATTTGAAAGTTTCAGGACATAAGACATCATAAAAATGGAATACACAGAATAAGGCCAGATGATTTTACAAAGCCAGGACCCACAGGAGACTCAGAGGCTGTGTTTTGAACACTGAATGTATACACTCAGTGTTGAATTACATAAACTTTTAGATGTGTTCTTTTAAAATAGAGTCTGGCATATTGGGATCTGGGAAAAAATGAACTCTAGATCAAAATGTTCAAATGTACTATAGATTGCAGAGGGCCACTCAGAAAGTAGAAGCCTCCCCCCCCCTCCTCTTCTGTTGGCATTCATTAACTGAGATTGCTAATGGAAATACTAGTAATACAGAATAAAATTATGGAAAACTTGGTCTTGGAAATTCTTGATCTCCAGATCCCAATTCTGGTATATAATACTGGAGAAGTTATTAAAATGAGCATGAAACTGAGCAAACTCAGGGAGGCAGTGAAGGACAGGAAGGCCTGGTGCAATATGGTTTATGGGGTCATGAAGAGTCGGACACGACTTAACGACTGAACAACAAGTTATTAAAAAACCCTGCTGTAGCCCATTTCTTCTGTTGATGTACAAGCATTCAGAGTGAGATTGTGTACTGTCAAAACATAGAATGGGGAAATCAACTTTTTAAACCAGGAAATTACATGTTAAATACATTGGAAATCAAGCTTTTTTTTAACTAGGGGATTACATGTTTAAAAAAAAAAAGAGGGAAAACAACTATTGCCAGCTATGTAGAAAAGAATAAAAGATTAAAAAAAAAGAAGAAATAACTACATGTGATGCCAAGGCCAAACTTGCTTGCCTATTTTTTCTTATTCTTTTTTTTAATCAAGAGTTATAACTACACATTTCAGCATTTTATATAGTGGCATGGTAGAACACATTTCAAAAGCAAAAAGTAAGACTTCATTTTCAAGATCACTCAGGAAAAAAGGTGGTTGATCAAAGAAGTTAAACCAACTTGAGTTTCCTTCTCAAAATTTAATGCACACCTGTACTGATTTCTGTGTAGAACAGTTAGTGTAAATGAGGCCATGAGCCAGTCACACAAAGGGTGGAATACAGAGGTAGTGGGGAGTGAGAAAGTGAAGAAATATATAAGTTCAGCCAACACTGAGGAAGAGGCATCCACAACAATGGTCAAAAAGGGGAGAGAGTGCTAAATGCCCTTTCAAACATACACAGGGATTAAGAGGAGCTCTATCTCTCACCAAAAATCTCAGCTAGAAAACATTCTGAATTATCATTGAGTAATACAGGGAGATCACAATGAAGTACAGTGAATGAGGCTGACAGCCAGCAGCTTTTCTCTGTCATCTCTGCCATTTGCTTTCCAGGTTTCTCCATGTGGGATCAATGCAGAAAAGTTCAGCAGTATTTTGAATTCGTTCTGAGGTTATTTGTGTTTTTCAAGAAGCAGGCATGTTTTAGGAACATAATAACGTAGGTAACCAATTCAGTCATGCAATCATATGCCCTAACTTCTCTCCTTGTATGTCTGATAAAGCCACATACAAAGTAATAGAGAAACGATTATGCTGCGCCATTTATATAAGGTGATGTGGCAATTTCACAGCAACTGATGCCCTGTCTGACATACCAAGTATGAGAGATGCAGCCAGAATGTTGATGAGATAGCTTGCTCATCCTCCATTGTCATTCAAGGCCACATCAGCCTAGCATTTGAAATTCAAAACTGCTGCTGAGCTCTCTAGGTGCCAATCCCAATCAAGATTTCTATACAGAGCAAAGGCTTTAATTTAGAAAGATTAATTATGTAATCTCTAACAAGGATTATATGTCTGAAAAAGTTAAGCAATAAATTTATGATGCTAAATATTTACTCAATGCTGCTACTAGGAGCATTATATTTCCACCATTAAATAATTCCATTTTACAACAATTTGAAGGGAAAACAGATATATGAAGAAAAAAATAAAATAAGTACAGTATTAAAAAAATCCTGAAACAGCAAAGGCTATATAGAAACAACATTTCATCCCTTACAGACTGAAGTTCTGGTGAAGATGTTGTCACTTCCAGGAATATGGATTGCTAGGATGAAGATGGAATGGCAGATGTACCAATGCCAAAGCTATAACAGTACAAAAGAGAGGCAGACTTCATGCCACCTTGTTCATGTACTAGAGTACTGTAGAACTGCCCAATATAACCTGGAGAAGCTATGGAGATAACTTAGGTAGGCTGTGAGTGCCTTCCAAATTGTGAAGAGTTCATGAATGTTTCATGATGCTTCATACCAGACCAAGCACCTTGGATGAAAAGGGATTGGAGCTGAGCTTCCTATCTAGATACAGATGAACTGTAGTAAGGACATGCACATGCGTTGGGAAAGGAGGCATAAAGGGACCACCTCCAATGAGTTTGTCTGAAATCAGTTCCCAGTGGATGAATTCTTTCCACAGGATGGAATTGTGTAGAAGGAGGTCACGAGGGAAAGTAGAACAGAGGCATCTTCCTGTTGGGGGCACCTCCAAAAAAAGACAAAGCAAACAACTGAAGTTGTAGCCACTGTATGGAGAATGATGTAGGCTCTGAATTTTCCTGTGAAAGAAATTTTGCATACAAAGCCCTGAAGCACATAGAGCCATTGTAAGATTAGTAAAGTGACTCCACTGAGCAAAAGGACTTAAGCTATGTGGTAAGATAGCTCAGAACACAAATACATAATTAGGAGTCAGTTGTTTAGGTAAAGGAACAAAATGGTACTTGGAAGCCAGAAGAATGCAACAAGAAGTGTTATCAGTTTAGAAAAAAAACCCTCTTGGGATTGTAGAGAGGCCAAATGGCAACACATAGTATTGGTAAATGGTGCTATAAAATGAAAGGAGAGGTAGTGGGAGACTATGGATAAACGAAAATATGTACATCTCTTTCCCTTCTGCAAGAGAGGAAGAAATATGAATTATCTTCAAAAATTATGAAATGGCAAAAGTCTAAGCCTGTCATCCTCCTTAGGTACACTAGCGTACTTAGGAAAGAGGCAAGAGAGTAGTCCACTGGAGATACTGGTGTTTGGTTGAATCAAGATCAGTAATGGGAGAGGAAGAGGTAGGGTTGATATTGCCTGCATCTTGGGAGTATTTTACCAAGCTCTGGAACCACATTCAGGGTCTTGTAAATCTTATTACTGAATATTCTATTTTTACTGAAGGGAAGACCCACAATTTAAGACTTAGCCTCCAGTGTCAGTCCAGTGGAGATGAGCCTGATATGCAATGCTGGATGATGAATGCAACATAACTCAGGCTGCCAAGTGTTTGATTCCTGCTTAGCCAAATGCGCTGCTTCTGTCTGAAAAAATGGAAGCATCCATCTCTTGTTCTCTGGCAAATGAGATAGGAATGTGTTACCTTTGGCCACAAAAAATGAGATATTGCCATGCAAGCTTGACAGGTGGCAATATGGAAGGAGAGTGTCCTCATCTGTGCCCATGATGATCCAATTTCTGCCTCATCTGTGGGTAGAGAATATTGTTGATCATGGGAGCCTGACTGTGATGCCTCCACTATTATAGAGTTAGGCAGAGGATGCTGAAATATGAAATGGAATCTTTCTTCCTTTATCCTGTAAATATTCTCAATGCGGTAAGAAGTTGAAGGCATTGAGCTGGCTTGACTCAGGAAAACTTGCTGAGTCTTAAACATTTCAATAAGTACTTGTGGAGAAGTAGTAGTTTGAAGTAACTGATATACTTAGTCCTCTACTGCCTGCAAAGACTGTTGAACTCAAGAGCAGGATTCTGTGCCATCCTATAAATCTGCTCACTGTAGGAATGGATGTCTTCCAAAGGAGAGATTGGTACATGGGTTCCAACCTAGACATCAGGTGGTGATGTCAAACATACTGAGGAAGTATCAGGGGCATAATCATCAGGTTCAGAGAAATTATTACAAACTCCAACAAAATGATGGAGCAGCTCCTGTAGCTCAACAGAAGTGGAAACTTTTTGAGTATAAATGGTCTTAACTGAGAGGTGATGATGGTCATGGCAGGCTGGAACTTGAATGTGACATTTGCCTTGAAGAAACTTCTTCAGGAATGAATTAATCCAGAGGACGAGAAAACAATGCTTGCAAAAGTTTTCTGCCATGTGGCTGGTCCAAGGCATGACTAGGCATTCAAGAACAATATGGAGTGGAAGGCCAATGCATGCGATAGTTTGCCTCACTATTATCTTGGGGTGTTCCAGGGACGAGTACAGATCTTGTTCCTTAGAGGACCATAATCCATCCTAGAAGAACAGGATGGCACAGAAGTAACCAAAATGAGGAAAGAAGTGTCCTTCAAAAGCAGAATGGGCATGCTGTAGCTGACTGTGATCTCAGAAAACTCAAGACAGTTGAAAGGAAGGTCTCTGTTTTGACTACCCCACTGGGTAACAGGGCAGTTCACATGAATAGGTCTCAAAAGGAATCTTCCAAATCTTGACAAAGACTTTTCTTAAATGTGTTGGGCTTTTATACAATAAAAGTTTTTCTCACTGGCACTTGAGACATTCTCCCCCATTTTTTGTTCCTCCTGTCTTTCTATAAGATTTTTCCTTCCTAATCATGTTTTGAATCAGAGATAAGCACACCTTAGAAAAATCCATACAGGTGGTACCCAAAAACAACGCCTATAATTTTGGAGTGTACAAAAATCACCAAATCAAACTGCTAAAGGCAAAAGCTCCAAACGTTTTTCAAAGTGATGGAAATAAACAAGAATTCTATATAGTATAAACACTTTTTAAAAGGATAAACAAGCTTTTTCAGTCTAGGGACTTCACTGTAACTTCCTGCCCATAAAACTAATCACATTGGGACTTCAGGGAGGACAGAACTGACATTTCTGGACCCTTTTATATGTAAATCCTGCAGAGGCTTAAGACACCCATTTTGCCCCTTAATTCTCCTAAAAACTGGGAATATTGGCCTGGTTTTGTTTTCATTTTTGAGGAGGTAGGATTTTTAAAGGGTTTGGTGATATTCTTAACTCACCCCCACACTTTTCAAAATGCAAAACAAGAAGTCTACAGATTTAATCCCTTCTTATTTTGAGTGCTTTCATGGTCTGCCACAAGGATGAACAAGTTTTTTTTTTTTAATCATCCATCTGTTAAACTAAAGGACTAATTGGTTCAGATTAGCTTTTCTCCCAATCAGATTCTCTGACATCTATTTGCAAGCATAAAGATTACACAGGGCCCCCATGCCCCAAACAAATTATATATAGTTTATTGATCATGCAATAACTTTCTCCTGTATACACTGCTCTGAGTCACTGGGAGTAGTGTGGCCTAAAAATTTTAGCAACACATAAATATATAAATTGTGATCTGAATTGAAGTATATTGAGAGCTTATGCATGGAAGCAAGATACAAGCATCATATACCAGTGCAAATGTCTGGCAGGCCCTAAAGTAGGACAGGTATATCTAGTGATACATATAGCATTGTCTGTATTTATACATACTTAAATCTAGCTATGGTATTCTGTTCTTTTCTTTCAAGAACGAGGGAGAAACAATGTATTCTGATTTCTCAGCTCATTTTATTCTTCTTTAGAACTGGAGATCATCCAAAATAATCCTCCCAAAATTTAAGATCAATGAATTTTAACAGTATACTCTGTATACAGAAAATCTGAATATCCTAAAGGCACAACTCATAAGCAAAGCAAGCTTCTTAGAAAGTTACACCAACCCTCGAGTTCCAGTTTAAGTACTCAGTGTTGGCCCCTTTAAAATCTTTGAGTTCTACTATCAAAATACAAAGCATGCTTTACTGTAGATATGGTGGTGACCATCGGCACCATTACAAGTAATGATAACAGGAGATATAAACACCTGATTGAGACAGAGGTTTTTTAAACATTAATTTAAAGAGAATCTAAGGACTGCTGACTTGAGTCATGTTCATAGACAAAACTTTTCTCATGAAATACAGCCTCCTCCAAATTAGTATATTCCAAATGTGTTAAATTTGAATTCTCATAATTCCCAGGCTTTGGTCATGTAGATTAGAAATTATGGAAGTTCAATACATCCGTGAGGACAACAGTCAAGATTATCCTTCTGATGACAGCCAGAGGACTTCATTATCTAGGGCCTAGTTTTTTTTATAAGTAGGTAATCCTGTATCTGAGCATGGCAGTAGGATTTGCTGAAAATGTGAACCCAGGTAAGAGGTAGAACACCTCTGTAATCATCTTAAAACACTGGAATGTCTTTTGAGCTTTCTAGAAGCTTTCTAGAAGCTGTGACTTGGTGGTATTTGAACCACCAAGCTTCTGACCCTGATACTATATTTAATACCTGGCATTTGAAAAACCACCTTTTCAAGCCAATTTTAAGTTCTAACACTATGGTTTAATTCAGCTTTAGCATGAACTATTATATGAATCACAGTTTAGAATATAAACCATGGTCTAAGCTTGCTAACATAAACCTGGATTTAGAGCTGATTTCATCTTGTTTTCTACCTCCTCTGCAGTTCAACCTCTAGTTATAATATCTTCTAAAGCTGAATCAATCAATATAAGCATCACGTATTAAATACAGTTTACCTTATCTCTATCCAGGTTTATTTTCCCCCTTTCCCTTACCTTTCTGGCATAGCAACACACTCCCATTTCCTCAGCACCATCCTATTTATTATTTTTCTTCATCTTTGCTCTTTTTGATGGAGTATGTGTGTACTTGTGTGTTTCTATGTGTAAGAGTGAGTTGTGTGTGAGAGAGAATGCTAAAGGTAATTGGAATAATCCATTTTATAAATAAGGCATTTTGTTAAATGTTATGTTACATGTTTAGATATTAATTCAATTAACATACATTTATTTTTTGTCATAGCCTATCCCTTTTTGAAGTGTTGGTTCTGCAGGTTTATGTATCAATTTATCCACCTATATGCCTATGCATACACATATACAAATATGTCACCTTCACAGATTTGTTTTTTGGGGGGGAAATCTCCAGGATTAGTTTCAACTGGAATTGGCAATCCTAGATTCATATGGTAAGTAAGCTCAATATTACATAAGACGTTTTTTTGGGGGGGGTGTCTGTATGCGCGCATGCATATATCCATCCATCCATCCTCTACTCCTTTTTTTGTAAAGATCATCTTACATTCAGAGTAATCTTCCTTTTGAATAAGTACAGTATTCCCAATCCACAGTGACCGGAAACCACAATTTATATCCATTTTAAACCATAGCTTCAGGTTTGTCAATTATGGATCTCAGATCCTTTTGTTTTGTTTTTGTCTAACTTTTTATAAAACTGGGCACTATAAATTATAGCATGACAATAAAACAAAATAATCATTTAAAGCATCAAAAAGCCGACCTTAAAATAATAGAAAATAAATTGGTTAGCAGGCATAACATTCCACTCTTAAAGCCAATAATCAAGAATATAAAAAATAATTCAGAGTTTGGGAAAAGGGGCAAGGAAAGGAAATCATATTTAACAAAACAGAAGAGGACTTACTTTGCTCTAGGTTGATGTACTAATCCTGGAAGCTCTTTATTAGCCTTAAGTTTTACATGTGAACTGGCACTTTTTTCCTGGAAAAAAAAAACAGACACATATTCACAAATTGATGAGTTTTGTTTTAAAATAAGGAATCTTTATTTGCCATCAGATGTCAGCTGAATAATGAAGAGTTTATGTGTAAATATAACAGTTCAAAAATGAAAGAGCAGTCGTTTTACAATGCTAAGCTGTGACAAACCAGTCATAGATCAACGTCCTGTTTGAACACCCTGTTCAAAATATTGTGTTAAGCTTATTCTCTTTCATAAAATCTAAAAAAAATTGAAAAGTACATGCTTGCACAATAACATACCTATCACACAACATGTAAAGTGGTACTTAAACATTTGTGAACCCTTCTGAATTTTCAATATTTCTGCATAAATATGACCTAAAACATGATCTGTTATCCACAGACATCCTAAGACTACATAAAGAGAACCCAATTCAACAAATGACTAAAAAACTGTATAGTCGTTCATTTATTTATTGAGGAAAATGTTCCAAAACTACACAGGAGCTTGAATAATGGAGTGCTTCCTCATGAAAACAAAAGCACAATATTGCATAAAAAGACCTAGGGCATCCAGGAGTCATGTTGGCTGAAACTCTTACTTCCATAATTTAATTTTTAATATGAAGACACATCTCTCCTTTCTGCTGTTGCATCCAGTCAATGAATCTCTACCATATTAATGACTTACAACTCAGTGAGAACCAGATGGAATCTCATCCATTTGGCTCGCTTAAGTTCTTATTACTTTTCATCCTACACTCTCTACCCTCAAAGCTTCTTGACTACCTGGAGTTATGAGCTGAATAGGGAAGCCATTAATGAATAATTCTGCAGCCAGTGAGATAATTCTAATGGTAAGCTCTCTGTTAATGTCTGATATTTTTTAGGACTGCAAAATCATACGCTGCAAATAAGAGACTAAGGGACAGGTAAGCAACAATACGAGTGGTCTTTCATTCAAAGCTATCACTCTTATCAAACCTTTCCACTCATTCTTCAGCAGCACAATGTAAAGCTTCAGAATAAAGTGTGCCAAGTGCAACCCATCTATTACTTTCTTTTTATCCCAGCGCACTTGGGATAGTTATTTCTGGGCATTTTTTTGTTTTTGTTTTTTTGCCTACAAACATGAGAAGTAGACAGTATTGTCAAGTCAACAGAGGTGGGCAATGGGTGCTAATGAAATTGAAAGGGGTACTATGATAAGAGTCTGTAAAGCTAAGGTTTTAAAATCAGCATCTAGTTTCACAAATCCATAATGCTTGTTTTGTTCATTATCTCATTTGATCCATACCATCTCTCTGAAATGCATATTCCACCATCCTCATGTGGCATTACAGTTGTTGGAAAACACAACAAAAGGGGAAAGTATATGTTAATTTGACCATGATTGTATTGGCATTGTTCCCCAACTGGGAGAGCACTGCTAGACTGATACTAAAGAACTAAGGGCGGAGGATATAATTTCCCACCCACAACCAATAACTGGGACAGTAAGAGCTTATACCTTTAAAATTAGGCCACAATTTCAAATCCTGAGTTAAACAAAAAATCTGGTTAGATCTAGCTACATTTAATATCAGTGCAGCTACAAATCATGATTAGATCCAGGAGGCAGAAAATCTGGCTGTATAAAGTTCACTTGTCTTGCATTCCACTCTATCAAGCCAAATCATGGTTAACAATAATAATCAACAATGATATGGTCAGACAAGAAATTTGTAATGGAAGGCACAGGTGAGGAGGAGACTGGTATGAGAGATCAAGGCTATCAGGAGGGAGGGAGTGCATTCCAGAGGAAGGGGCAAGGCAAGCACTTTCTCAGCCCGCAGCAGGACCGTGAAAAGAAGA